TGAGAAACAAGGATACGTATGGCGATTGTGATATGAAAGACGTTTGCGTTGTTGGAAATACACAAGTGCCAAGTTGTTCGTTGCACAAAAATAAAGTCTGGCATGACTGGATGCAGATTAGTAAGGTGTGAAACAGTTGCATGCATAGGGCCATGGTTTACAGTCATTTGGAATGTGTAGAAATAGTTGTGAGCTAATAGTTACGAATCGATTCGTAAGGTGGAAATCGAACAGTATGGTCGGGCCACAAGAGGACTGCGCTTGGTCGCGCATAGTAGAGTATGGTTTACTGGGAGTCGGAGTAGAGCGATAGTGTAGCACTCGAAGTGTATAAGTATCGCAGGAAAACGGCTTCAAAGTAAACCTCGGCACCAACTCCTTCACTCACACACATCAACCTGCCTTCCTTCTTTCCCTTGCCCCTCCGAACCTACCATTAGGTTATGGGCCCAGTCCCTCGCTGTCGTTTCACTGCATGAGTCTGTCGTTCTCGTTCCGTTGTTTCTGGCGTCGTTGTCGCTGTCGTTTTCGCTGCCGTTTCTCGTCGTTCTTTCCGCTGGTCTTCTCGCTGTCGTTGTCGCTCTCGTTCTTGCAGTCGTTCTTGGTTTTGGTTTTCGCTGCTGCTGTCGTTCTTGCTCTCTTGTGCGAATTGGTTTTGGCCATCGCCCCCGCTGTCTTCGTTGTCTTCGTTCTTGGTTTGGCTTTTGTTCTTGCTGTGGTTCTTGCTGCTGTCTCTGTCTTTGGTCTTCGTCTTCGTTTCCGCTCCCGCTACCGCCGTCGTCGTCAATCTCGCATTTGGTTTTTCTTCGTTCTCTCATGCAAAGTAAGTTTTGAGTTTCTTTCCATTTCCTACACATCTAAGTGATTGTCTTTGCACGTTTTGGTGGTTCTTAAGAGCAATAATTCCAAAATCTGTTACTGACGATTATCTTCATATTCCTTATTGTGAATACCTGTTTTTACGGGGTTGTGTTAGATCTGGAATTAGTACCGGTGCGCTCTGCGCCTGGGAAGCTGGACACCGGTCGGACGGTTCGGACATCGGAGGTCGTATCCGTTGAGGTGCTTGAGCCTGAGGATCAACCTTCACCTCGGCTCGCGCTTCCGGGTCCGTCCTCGAGTTGCCCACCATATAGGATTCCTCATATTCCGCGCTCTGTTCCCGCACCAATAAAGAGAACTACGCATCGACTTTCTGCTCGGAAAGCGGCTGTTGTCGCGGATAAAGAGTTTAAGCGTGAGCGCAAGAGGAATCGTAAGGTGTGCCCGCGGTATAAGCGGTATTGTAAAGTGTGCGGCGTTAGTGGCAATAGTGCGAAGGCCTTTTACGACCACATTCAGTCTAGGTCTCATCGCATTCAAGTTGCCAACGCTAAGGAGACTCCGCGTTGTATCCCTTGCAATCGCGTCTTTGAGTCTCACGGGCACCTGAAGTGCCACGAGAACGGTGCCGCACACTTAAAGGTAGTTTGTGAACAGAATAGTTAGGGATTTCATCCAAATAAATTCACATATCTGTTCGCAAATTTCTCCTAGTACAACTTCATAGTAATCATATCGAACTTCTTAGACGGGTGGGCTTGCCATTGTGTTGACTATCGGTTAACGGCTTGGGATCCCCGAACGGATTTTCGAATACTTGAAGTTTATTTGCACTAAAATGGAAGATCAAGGAGGAGGAGGATCCATCAGAATCGACAAACTGACGGACTCCAACTTCTACGTGTGGAAGCAGAAAATACAACTTCTGCTTGCTCTACGTGATGTTGACCAATACATCGTTGAGGGAAGAGTTCCAAGTGAGGAACGCGCGGAAGAGCGTAAGAAGTGGATCAGAGGTGACAGTAAAGCTAAAGCACTGATTGGTCTCTCCCTATCAGATGAGCATCTTGAGCATGTACGTGATGTTGATACTGCTCATGAGATGTGGGAAGCTATTGTTAACGTGTTTGAGAGGCACACTTTGCTGAACAAACTAGCTGCACGTCGTGAGTTCTACACTGTGAAGATGCTTTCCGGTGAAAAGGTGCTTGCATACATCAATCGTGTCAAACAGCTGGCAGCCATCCTCAAGTCAATGAGCGTAAACATCGATGACAAGGAGATGGCCATGGCAGTGCTCAACGGTCTGCCTGCCCGTTTCGAGGCTCTCATCGTTGCACTTGATGCTCTCGGTAATGAGGAGAAGATATTCAGTTTGGACTTTGTGAAAAGTCGTCTGCTGCAGGAAGAGCAACGAGCAAACATGAAGTCTAGCTCCTCACAGACATCGGCTCTGGTTAATCGTGCCCCGAACAATCGGGACATAAACGATTACAAATGCACGAACTGCGGTCATACAGGCCATACGGCAACCCGCTGCTGGGGAAAGGATTTGAATGGGCGTCGCCCGGCTCCTCCTAGCGGATATAAACCGCGTATGTCTCAGCGGAAACAATCTGCATTTGTCACACACAAACCTGATCCCGACATGGTTGTAAACAGCGTCAACTTCACATGTCTGATGTCGAAAGCTTCGCACACGAACGATATGGAGATGTCGCCTTCGTGGCTCGTAGATTCAGCTTGTACAGCTCATATTACATATGACCGATCTTTGTTTGCAACGTATGAGCCACTTGAATCCGCCTCTGTTCAGATGGGAACCAAGGCTAGTGCAAAGGTTGCCGGCCGTGGTGACGTTCACTTGAAGTTAAATGTGAATGGCCGCATCGAACCGTGCAAGTTGACGGATGTATTGCACGTTCTGGACTTTGCGTTCTCTCTGCTCTCTGTCAGTCAAATGACTGAACTTGGACTAAAAGTTGGGTTCGAAAATGGAAAATGCATGATCAGACGAGGCTCAACTGTAGTGGCGACTGCGACATTGGTTGGAGAACTTTACGTTCTCGACATCGTCAGTGACATCGGATCTGTGTTGTAATTCTACAACCACATGCTGATATGCATGACACACGACGACAGTATGACACGTGTAAAAGCAAAAACACTCGGCGTGACGAGCTGAGCAAGTTTGATTTTCAACGTGTACACGTGTGATTTCTGTACACGGTTGCACTCTACAGTACTTCAGGAGCAAGTTTGGTTTTCAACCTGTACACGTGTGAAATATGTACACAGTTGCGGTGTACTGTACAATCTGAGCATGTTTCATTTTCTTCGCCCGACACGTGTATGACCTGGACACATGTCCTCATTACACTGTCGGACGCGTACAGTACGCCTGCAGTCTTACAGGCAAAGTGTAGAACCTTGGTGGCGGGTGCCTGGCACGTGCCAAAGGTTTACAGCGTCCATGGAGTGCAGCACGGCTACAGCAGGACACAAAGATACCGTTGCGCGAGTTTTGAATTCGTAAAGCAAAATGTGCACTGTTGTAATTGACAGTGGACAGGACCTCACGAGAGATTCACATTCATAAGGCAACGTGTGCGCTGTAAACAGTCCTTGCAGGATTGATTTGAATTCGTAAGGCAACGTGTGAGCTGTAAACGTGCCTTACGAATTTGTGCCACGCTGGATTTGGAATAGTAAGGGAATTTGTGCTTTGCTGTGCTTTGTTGTACTGCCTTACTAATTTCTCCGTCATGACAGTGCTAATTCGTAAGGCGGTTTTCTGTTCTGTTTGTTGGGCCATCGCCAGTTTGGCTGAGTAGCAAGACGGGCACATGTGTTAGAGCCAATACATTTGTAGTATGTGTGTCGTAGTGTTTGGTAGTAGAGTTCTAGAAGATTGCAGAAGTGTACAAGTAGTGCCAGAAGTTGGCGACTCAAAGTAAATCGATACCCAATCCTTCAACTTCACCTCATCAACCGTCCTTCGAATCCCCTTCGCCCCGCTGACCTACCATTAGGTTATGGGCCCAGTTCAACGTTATTGTTCCGCTGTGTGAGTGCTCGTTCTCAGTTTCTGCTGCCGTTTTCGTGTTTGTTTCTGCTGTCGTTCTCGTTTTGGTCCCCGCTGTCGTTCTCGTTTTGGTTTCTGCTGTCGTTCTCGTTTTGGTTTCTGCTGTCGTTTTCGCCGCCGTTTCATCGCCGCCGCCGTTCGTTTTGTTCTATCGCCGTCTACTTGCTGTCGTTATCATCTTGGTCGTTCGTCTCCGTCTACCCGCTGTCGTTTCAACTTGGTGGATCTTCTTCGTGTCTGTGGCAGCTTGGTCTTGGCAATCGTTGTGTGAGCTGTGGGTGTAGTCCCTAGTCGCCAACGTACCATATCAATCCAAGAAGACTGCCCTTCAATCACGCCGGTGATCGTCGTAGCTGCCGATACCCTCGCTCTTGGTGAAAAGCTTGTGCCATTGGAAATCTGACTTGAGCGAGGGTCCGACCAAGAATCGTCGAGAGACGAAACACTGATCCTCGGGGAGGATCACAGTGTACTGGTCTAGTCGATCCGCACTCTGCCTTCGGGAGGTGCGTCGGCGGTGTGGGTAACGCTCTCGGTATTAGCCCTATAGGTACGACTTCGGTCCCCTGGGTGAAGAGAATACGTGCCTAACCACTAAACCTCTCACTATACGTGTATAAGGTCGCGTACCTTGATTAAGTTCGCACGGAAGAGGGTGACCCTAGGCGTGATTGTGAACAAATCACACGAGTACGACGAAGGCAGTTTCATTCTTGTGTTGTGAGAAACCTCATTGGGGTAGTACCGTATCAAGTTTGGACAAGCCGATTTCGGTTGCAGGGACCGTTCGCGGTAGTGACCAAAAGTCCTGGTTCGTCTACAGGCAAAGTGTTGTGCTTACTCGTGGCACGTTTGATTTAGTTCACAGTCGAAAGACCCGCACTGGCCGACATACAGGGGTAGCGCCCTAAGGCATATTTAAGAAGAATACGCTTGTTGCACTCCGCCGGGAACAAGCACCAAGAACGTTTCCGAGTAATCGCTACAAACTTCTTATACGGGTGGGCTTGCCATTGTGTTGACTATCGGTTAACGGCTTGGGATCCCGGAACAGAAGACCTTGTATACTCGAAGGGTACATCCATTCGGCGAAATGGATGACCAAAGCTCTGGATCGGTCAGAATCGAGAAGCTGACCGCATCTAACTTTTACATCTGGAAGCAGAAAATCCAGCTACTGCTTGCTCTCCGAGATGTCGATCAATACGTTTTTGATGATATCCCTGAGAATGCGACGTCAGATGACCGGAGAAAATGGATCCGTGGTGACGCAAAAGCAAAGGCAGTCATCGGACTCACGCTGTCTGATGACTACTTGCAACATGTGCGAGGGTGTAGCAGTGCGAAAGAGACATGGGAAGCAATTCTGAATGTGTTTGAGCGTCATACTTTGCTCAACAAACTTGCCGCCCGTCGCGACTTTTACACTGTATCCATGCTCCCATCCGAGAAAGTGCTCGTGTTCATCAATCGTGTGAAGCAACTTGCTGCCAGATTGCAGTCAATGAGTGTTGAGATTGACGATAAAGAAATTGCAATGGCTGTGTTGAATGGCTTGCCTCCACGATTCGATAACTTGATTGTTGCTCTTGACGCACTTGGCAATGAAGATAAAGTGTTTGGACTCGAGTTTGTGAAGAGTCGTCTGCTGCAAGAAGAACAACGAGAGAGCATGAAGACCGCTTCTGCTTCATCACCACATGCACCTGCACTTGTCAATCGTATGCCTATTCGACGCGATATGAAATGTACGAATTGCAATAGACATGGGCATACTGCAGGGCGTTGCTGGGGCAAGGACGTGAATGGGCGCCGACCTGCACCGCCAGATGGGTTTCGGTCACGCAACACTGGCTTAAAGCCAAGTGCATTCGTTTCTCGAGATGACAATTCTACTGCTGCCTTTGCGGAGAGTGACTTTACTTGCTTGCTTTCGACTTCCACTCCAGAAAAGAGGGCTGCAAACGCAAGGTCATGGCTTGTCGATTCCGGTTGCAGCGCTCACATTACGTTTGATCGCTCTTTGTTCGTTACGTATGAACAGATGCAATCTGGATCAGTCGAGATGGGCACGAAGGCTAGAGCTAATGTCGCTGGGCGCGGAGAGGTCGAATTCATGTTGAACGTCAACGGTAGTCCCCATCCTTGCAAATTGTCAAACGTTTTGCATGTCCCTGATTTCGGATATTCGCTACTGTCTGTTAGCCAAATGGTTTCGAAGGGTTTGCAAGTGTCATTTGAAAATGAGAAATGCCGCGTTACTGCAGGACCAACTGTAGTTGCCACAGCGAGTCAAGTTGGGGATTTGTACATACTTGACGTCATGAATGAAACCTTTTCTGCTCACGTAGTTACCCTGCAGACGCTACATGAACGCATGGCCCATGTTAATGTACAAGGAATCGCATCAATGATTCACAATAATGTGGTAAATGGCATCAACGTTCGTCAAAGCGATGTCATCAGTGCAATGAATCTGAAGTCTGACAATCACTCTCCCATTTGTCCTGCGTGTGTGTTCGGCAAAGCAACGCGATCAGTAATCCCGAAACAGCGATCATCGTCTCGAGCACAGAACTGTCTTGACTTGGTACATTCTGACGTTTGCGGTCCGCTCGAAGTACAGTCCATTGGTGGTTCCAGATACTTCATTACATTTGTAGATGATCACTCGAACTGGGTAGTTGTGTACACGATGAGAAATAAATCTGAGGCGTTTGCAAAATACAAGTTGTATGAAAAGTTGGCTCAAACCCACACTGGTCGCAAAGTAAAGGTGCTTCGCACTGATCGAGGGGGAGAGTACTTGTCGACGGAATTCAAGTCGCATTTAGATTTAAACGGTACGCAGCACCAACTCACAACGGCGTACACCCCTGAACAAAACGGTGTTGCTGAACGTTTAAATCGAACTTTGATTGATCTTGTCCGCTCAATGCTTTCTCATAAACAGGTCAGTAAGCGATTCTGGGCCGAGGCTCTTGCCACTTCAGTATATGTACGTAATCGAGTTACTTCACGCGCTTTGCCCGTTAATACAACTCCGCACCACATTTGGATGAATTCCACTCCAAATGTTGGCCATACTGGAAGGTCAGCGGGGCAAAGGGAAATCGAAGGACGGTTGATGAGGTGAAGTTGAAGGATTGGGTACCGATTTACTTTGAGTCGCCAACTTCTGGCACTACTTATACACTTCTGCAATCTTCTAGAACTCTACTACCAAACACTACGACACACATACTACAAATGTATTGGCTCTAACACATGTACCCGTCTTGCTACTCAGCCAAACTGGCGATGGCCCAACAAACAGAACAGAAAACCGCCTTACGAATTAGCACTGTCATGACGGAGAAATTAGTAAGGCAGTACAACAAAGCACAGCAAAGCACAAATTCCCTTACTATTCCAAATCCAGCGTGGCACAAATTCGTAAGGCACGTTTACAGCTCACAAGTTGCCTTACGAATTCAAATCAATCCAGCAAGGATTGTTTACAGCGCACACGTTGCCTTATGAATGTGAATCTCTCGTGAGGTCCTGTCCACTGTCAATTACAACAGTGCACATTTTGCCTTACGAATTCAAAACTAGGGCAACGGTATCTTTGTGTCCTGCTGTACCCGTGCTGCACTCCATGCACGCTGTAAACCTTTGGCACGTGCCAAGCACCCGCCACCAAGGTTGTACACTTTGTCTGTAAGACTGCAGGCGTACTGTACGCGTCCGACAGTGTAATGAGGACATGTGTCCAGGTCATACACGTGTCGGGCGGAGAAAATGAAACATGCTCAGATTGTACAGTACACCGCAACCGTGTACATATTTCAGACGTGTACACGTTGAAAACCAAACTTGCTCTTGAAGTACTGTAGAGTGCAACCGTGTACAGAAATCACACGTGTACAAGTTGAAAATCAAACTTGCTCAGCTCGTCACGCCGAGTGTTTTCCATTTTACACGTGTCATACCTGTCGTTGTGTGTCATGCATATCAGCATGTGGTCGTAGAATTACAACACTCCCCCTCGATCACATGCTTTTACCAGAAGTAGCTACTGCAAGCCCTAGAATTTCTACAAACTTCTGGAACAGAACTCGCCCAAGTGCTTTCGTCAGGATATCTGGAGGCATGGAAGTGGTCGGGCAATGCGACAAAGAAATGACGTTTCTCTTAATTGAATCTCGTACATAGTGGTATTTCACATCAACATGTTTGTTACGACGGTTGACCGATTCATTCTGTGCATACGAAATAGTCCCTGCATTGTCACACCCCATCATAATCGTGGGATCAGAATGAAGTCCAAGGACATCAGCAACCACTTGACGCAACCAAGTCGCCTCCTTACACGCTTCACATAGTGCAATGTACTCAGCTTCACACGTCGAAGTTGCAACCACAGTCTGTTTCCGGGAACTCCAACTGATCGCTCCACCGCAGAACTTGAAAACATATCCGCTGGTCGACTTGCGAGAGTCTGAACAACCGGCCCAATCAGCATCACTGAAGCCGAACAACTCCGGCGATTTAGATTTATTGTCAAACATGATTCCTAAGTTTCGAGTCCCTTGCACGTATCGCATTACCCGTTTCACACCTACCCACTGTGACTCACATGGGTTGGCAGAATGTTGAGAAAGCTTTCCAATCGCATATGCCAAGTCTGGACGAGTGCCAACCGTCAAGTACATCAGAGATCCCACTGCCTCACGATACGGTGCATTTGTTTCGGAGTCGTTTTCGGTTGAAATCGTGGTTGTGTGACCTTGTTCCATTGGAGTCAGAGAGGGGTTACACGTTGACATTCGAAAACGCTCAAGCACTTTTGATGCATACTTAGTTTGAGTGAGACTCAAAGTCTTGGCGCGGCGATCCCTTTGAATTTCAAGACCAATGCAGACTTTTGCTTCACCAAGGTCTTTCATCTCAAACCGTTTATTAAGCTCCCCCTTCATCCATTTGATGGCATCGATATCACTACCGGCGAGTAACAAGTCATCGACATAAAGTGCAATCAGCATGATAGTGTTACGGATGCGTTTAATGTAGAGACAAGGATCACTACGCGAAGTCTCGAATCCCAATTCACCAATTAAGAAATCATCCACTTTGGCATGCCATTGACGATGTGCTTGTTTAAGACCGTAAAGTGCTTTCAAAAGTTTGCACACGTGGTCACTTTTGCTTTTGTCAATGCACCCTTCGGGTTGCTCCATGTAGATGTCTTCATCCAAGTCGCCGTTCAAAAACGCAGTCACGACATCCATCTGATGAAGTTCGAGGTCGTAATGAGCAACTAAGGCAAGAAGTAGACGAATAGTGGTAAACTTTATGACGGGGGCATATGTCTCAGTATAGTCAAGACCTTGCACTTGCTGGAATCCACGAGCAACAAGTCTGGCTTTTGCACTTTTAACTATATTGCCATTTGCATCAGGCAGTTGCTTGACATTGAAAACCCATCGAGATGTCAAGATGTTTGACGCCTCAGATCGAGGAACAAGTTTCCAAGTCCGATTCTTTGTCTGCGAGGCAAGTTCTTTGTCAATGCCGGTCTGCCAAAATGCAGCTCTAGGACCGTTGGTTGCCTGGTTGAAAGTCTTGGGACCTTCAATAGCGACATGCGCATGTGAAAGAAGAGCAGCTGCAACGTTGCTTCTCCACCATGATGCGGGAGGTCTGCTGACTCGAGACGATCTTCGCACAGCTGGAGTCGGAGTTGGAGGAGTGACATTCGGAGTTTCGACGGCAGTTGGTACATCATCTTCATCTTCATCATTCTCACTTACAGAATGAGCACCATCGTTTTCAAGAACCTCCTCCGAAACTTCATCCTCTTCAGAACCGACCTCATCCGTATTTGGGGTATCAGCTGTATTCCCATTGTCGCCACCGAGGAATACAACGTCAACATCAGAGTTGATTGAATCACTTTCGTGTGCAGGAATGTCATGCATACCACATGTCGATTCATCAAACTTGACATCCTGTGACACAACAATTTTATTCAACTCTCCGTCCCAAAGTTTGTATGCCTTACTGCATTTCGAGTACCCAAGAAACATCGCTTCACGCGCTCGCAAGTCCAGCTTACGGAGCTCTAATTTTGGTAATGTATACCAACACTTTGACCCAAATACTCGCAAATGGCCAACATTTGGAGTTGACTTCATCCAAATGTGGTGCGGAGTTGTATTAACGGGCAAAGCGCGTGAAGTAACTCGATTACGTACATATACTGAAGTGGCAAGAGCCTCGGCCCAGAATCGCTTACTGACCTGTTTATGAGAAATCATAGAGCGGACAAGATCAATCAAAGTTCGATTTAAACGTTCAGCAACACCGTTTTGTTCAGGGGTGTACGCCGTTGTGAGTTGGTGCTGCGTACCGTTTAAATATAAATGCGACTTGAATTCCGTCGACAAGTACTCTCCCCCTCGATCAGTGCGAAGCACCTTTACTTTGCGACCAGTGTGGGTTTGAGCCAACTTTTCATACAACTTGTATTTTGCAAACGCCTCAGATTTATTTCTCATCGTGTACACAACTACCCAGTTCGAGTGATCATCTACAAATGTAATGAAGTATCTCGAACCATCAATGGACTGTACTTCGAGCGGACCGCAAACGTCAGAATGTACCAAGTCGAGACAGTTCTGTGCTCGAGACGATGATCGCTGTTTTGGGATTACTGATCGCGTTGCTTTGCCAAACACACATGCAGGACAAATGGGAGAGTGATTGTCAGACTTCGGATTCATTGCACTGATCACATCGCTTTGACGAACGTTGATGCCACTTACCACATTATTGTGAATCATTGATGCGATTCCTTGTACATTAACATGGGCCATGCGTTCATGTAGCGTCTGCAAGGTAACTACGTGAGCAGAAAAAGGGGTTTCATTCATGACGTCAAGTATGTACAAATCGCCAACTTGACTCGCTGTGGCAACTACAGTTGGTCCTGCAGTAACGCGGCATTTCTTATTTTCAAATGACACTTGCAAACCCTTTGAAACCATTTGGCTAACAGACAGTAGCGAGTATCCGAAATCAGGGACATGCAAAACGTTTGACAATTTGCAAGGATGGGGACTACCGTTGGCGTTCAACATGAATTCTACCTCGCCGCGACCAGCGACATTAGCTCTAGGCATCGTGCCCATCTCGACTGATCCAGATTGCATCTGTTCATACGCAACGAACAAAGAGCGATCAAACGTAATGTGAGCGCTGCAACCGGAATCGACAAGCCATGACCTTGCGTTTGCAGCCCTCTTTTCTGGAGTGGAAGTCGAAAGCAAGCAAGTAAAGTCACTCTCCGCAAAGGCAGCAGTAGAATTGTCATCTCGAAAAACGAATGCACTTGGCTTTAAGCCAGTGTTGCGTGACCGAAACCCATCTGGCGGTGCAGGTCGGCGCCCATTCACGTCCTTGCCCCAGCAACGCCCTGCAGTATGCCCATGTCTATTGCAATTCGTACATTTCATATCGCGTCGAATAGGCATACGATTGACAAGTGCAGGTGCATGTGGTGATGAAGCAGAAGCCGTCTTCATGCTTTCTCGTTGCTCTTCTTGCAGCAGACGACTCTTCACAAACTCGAGTCCAAACACTTTATCTTCATTGCCAAGTGCGTCAAGAGCAACAATCAAGTTATCGAATCGTGGAGGCAAGCCATTCAACACAGCCATTGCAATTTCTTTATCGTCAATCTCAACACTCATTGACTGCAATCTGGCAGCAAGTTGCTTCACACGATTGATGAACACGAGCACTTTCTCGGATGGGAGCATGGATACAGTGTAAAAGTCGCGACGGGCGGCAAGTTTTTTGAGCAAAGTATGACGCTCAAACACATTCAGAATTGCTTCCCATGTCTCTTTCGCACTGCTACACCCTCGCACATGTTGCAAGTAGTCATCAGAAAGCGTGAGTCCGATGACTGCCTTTGCTTTTGCGTCACCACAGATCCATTTTCTCCGGTCATCTGAGGTCGCATTCTCCGGGATATCATCAAAAACGTATTGATCGACATCTCGGAGAGCAAGCAGTAGCTGGATTTTCTGCTTCCAGATGTAAAAGTTAGATGCGGTCAGCTTCTCGATTCTGACCGATCCAGAGCTT